CGGAAAGTAATGATGGCCAACAAGGATTAAGGTCACTGTCATCATCCATCCAAGGTCCTTTACTACCTTCAACGGCTCCTACAAGACTATCTTTCACAGATACTCTAGATCCTTCGAATTCAATATCGTGTGCATCTCCCTGTGCTTTCTCCTGCAAATACCCGAAATGAAAGAAAAACAAAACCTTTAGAGGAAAAGATTTTATCTTTTTTCACTGTTTGTTTACACCAAAAGAGATGAAATCAATCATGTCTTAGTGATCAGTGTAAAATCTGTCGACTCTAGTTTTGGGTTTCTTATATGATCAATGCAATCGACATTTAATCTAAAAATGGGAAGTTTTGCATCAAATCAAGTAAAGTTTCACTGAACAAGCTAGATCTGCTTCGAAATGCATCAGATAGAAGTATCAACACAAACATTGAAGTGACAATATTGAACAAGAGAAATCGAACAGAAGCCACTTGAATCAACTGGATTGGTATCACATTCAAGCAAAAAGCTTCAAAAAAAAATTGTCGGCAGAAGATAAGATACCTGAAGAGAATCATAGTAATCTCGATGAAGCATCTGTCCAAGCATGATAAACATGGTAATGGTGAGAATACCAGCAACCACTTGCCTCAAATCCACACCCATTTCTTTCTTCTTTCTTCTTCTCTAGAGAAAGCAGAGGATTTGGAGAAGAAGAAAGACAGAGAAGGGAAGGGAAGAAAAAGGAAAGTCCAACAAAGAGAGGTGTTGTGTTGTGTTGTGTGGGCAGATAGAGACAAGCTATCTTCCTCAAATATGAAATCTCAGTTCCCTTTTGATCATTTGTTTTTTATTAAAGTTTTGTCCAAAAACAAAAAAAAAAACTTTCTTTTTCTTTCTTTCTGGGGAGTGTGTTTATTGTCAGTGTTTTGATTGTTGAAGTTGAAGTTGAAGTCGAAGTCTTACGCTATCTACAGACAACACCGGCCACCGACACTTTTACCGTGAAGGTTGTTGGTATAAATCTTTAACCGGAGGTTTCACTAAAACCGGTTATACCAAGACATTTTGATTTCTTACTCTTTGTTTTATTTGATTTCTTACTCTTTGTTTATTTGATTTATCTTTCCTTATATTTTACTTACTCCTTTCATTCAAAATATAGAATGTTTTAAATAAAAGCTAGAAGATTACTAGAAATGTTTTCCTTCAAAACAATACCATTTAATATTTCATATATAT